AGAAGCTAGGTCCCATTGTCACAAATGACTGCAGCAGTCTGCGAAGCAAAATTTTCTGTTTGTCAAATAGTGTTGATTGATGATAACTTTCAAATGACAATTGCACGTATCTGAAGTGTCCTCAACCTTGAGCTCAATTCCATTCTTTTAAAATTCTGAACTGATTCGAAAGTGGTAGTTTGAAGTAAAGTGCTTGAGAATTTGAGTGGAACATTATTAGTCAGTATAACAGTACAACAAATTCCTAATACATCTAGGAAGAAATTTTCGAAATGGTTTTGAGTTCAGTTGAATTGCTCTGTAGTTTGTTGGCTTATTGCTACAAATTAAGCACCACCACAAATGAACTTGTGAGAGAGCATGTAACCTAGGGTCAAAAATCGTTTAAAAATAATGCACATATTAATAAGATTTCATTCAAGTAATTGTTTTTCATTAAAATGACTAGACATCAGCGACCAATTAAGTTCAAACTGACAAGGCATTGGGGCTCCTTCAATTGAATAACATATTGTATACATTAGATAACGAGCAAAGGTTAATCAGTTTCATTCCATAAAAAGTATAAACAACTCCCGAAACGATTTATAAGAAAAATTGCAGCGATGACATCCAGTACTATAAACTCTCGTTTTATGGCGAAAGCTACACAAACAAGAGTCAATGATGTGAAGTCACCATCCGACATTAAAGCAGAATAGAGTACTCCGATGCATAGCATTCTAAAGGATTGAGAATTAATCTTTAATAAGGCGGCATGCTCAATTCTTAAATTCTTTGAATTTTAGTCGCGTTTTCGAAGATATATGACATGGCTGCAGCTATTTATCATGTCCCATGACTAGTAGGCACGTTCAAGAAGGACATTCTGAACCCTTCCAAGGTTTTTCTCGTCACCCTTGTAGAGGAAGGAGACTTTAAAATTCTGTTATAAGGATAAGCATTTTTGTCATTTCTCACCCCTGCACCACGGGCACTTGAGAGGAATTTGCTTGTCTTCCGTTAAAAATACCGCATTGAATGACTAGTTCTTGCCAAGATCTTTTCTATTCAAATTTTGTGATCCAGGATTAGCATTCCCTTACTTTCAAAGTAACAACTGAAACTACTTTTCTTAACATTTTCACATAAACCAGGAGTTCAATGGGTTCGGTATCCAGTAGCCAAAGTAAGACAATTACAGCCTTACCTTTTTGTGTTGCTACAAACATACAAGATTATGCGTAGGTTTCGTACATATTAAACGGAGAAAACACTAATGAGTCCATAATAAGCGTCATAAAATTTCTATGACAGCTGGCTCCGCTAATTTGGGCCCTAAAGGTGTTTAGGGCTATCCTGACGTACACTAATGTCAGTTGCACTGCCTTCCTCATGTCCGCCTCTCCGAACCAGGTGGGTTCTGTCGAGTCGGCCACACAGGATGCCGCTTTTTGTGCAAATTTTTGCACCACTGGTGGCGATATCAGCCACAAATGCCCCAGACGCTTTCACGCCATAAAGTTCGCGAAGTCATAAGTCTCTTCGGGGTGGTCTGGGTTGACTTCCATTCAGAGCTGTTACTTTAAAAAAAGAAATTAAAATTAATTGATGCACTGAAAAATAATGAAATGCTGCCTCGCATTTATCAGGCAGTGATTTTAATTCAAAAGTATTATGGACAGCTAAAGTAGATTATTTTATCTAACTTAGCAGATTTCAATCACAGATATTAGGTCAAAACTCGCGAGAAAGTGCTAATTCTTGAACAATCAGAAATTTTCTAAATGAACTTGCTATGAATCTCCACTGAGAAAAAACATACAACCTAAAATTTGAGACAATTTGATTGAAACTAAACAACGGCATTAAGAGATAAATATGTGTGCAACTTAGGAACACCCATAATGGAGTTGACTACGGCTGGAATTTACACTAAACCTACAAGCCTAATAAAATGATGTGCGCTGGCATCCACGATCATTCTGGAGTTTCCGGAGTTACCCAAAATACTTGATGGGTTCTTTGATTCATGCAGAAAGTAGGAAAATGCTCTCCTGTGTGTTTTGTAACAGCGAATCTCAGTAACACGCCACAAATGTGTTTGCGACCCCGCCAAATTCACTTACAGTTTAAATGGGCAGTTTGGTTTAGAGAAAAAAACAACAATGCTCCGTTAATTTACCTTAAACGGATTGAGAAAGGATCACTGAGAGGACATCAGTCAGTTGGGATTTCTGCTGATCCCAAACTTAAAATTTTATGACGACAAAGTTTCCCCAGCATTATTTATTTATTTAAATATGCAGAAAAGCAAGTTTGCTTGTTAGAAAATTCTGGTGTACCTTCAAGCGCGATTTTAGCGATAAAGTTCTATAGCTTATTTTCAGTATTATCGTCTCTCCAATTTCGCGGATAAGATACCTTAGGCGATGTTACAATTCTGTATTACCTTAGGCTAGTGTCGCATTCAGTAAAGGTAGTGGGCATGATGACTCATGTTGACACAAATGCACTTTTCAGTACTGCGCCTTCGTAACTGGCGAAGTAGCGACGGTCGCTCACACCGCAACATAACTGACATGCAAGCGTAAAGCCTCGCTTGAAGAACAAACAGACAGCGTTTTCAGAAGCAAGCAAGATGGTGCCATAGGAAGAATTGTAAAACTGGATAAAACAAAATAAAATTTGCTAGGAATTTGCATTAAGCATGTCGCTCACGTCATGTGTAACCGTGAAGTGGAAGTATACAACATGTCGATGTTAATCTTGTGATTATCAAATTCGACAAATTAACTGATCAAGTAAAAGTCGACAACTCTGGTGGGCCCACTGCCATGCATTTGTCAGGATGCTAAATACTATCAAACCATTTAAGAGCGGTGGATCAATTTATATTAAATATTCGGACTAAGCTGCATTATGTGATTCACCAGGTGAGCTGCTGCAAAAATCTGCCAGAGATCATGCCCGCTCCCGCTTGTGGGTGGACATGAACACTAACTCAGCATCGTGGTGCTTCTGTTATGATCAGTGATCCTAAATAAAATGTGAGCATATTCAAAAGGCTCATATCGAATGGATGGAACTGATTTATATAAAAGTTGTTTAAATCGCATAGAATGAGAAGTCTTACTAACCAGGGGTGGGTAGATATTTCAGCCGTCAAATGGTCTTCGGTGATTTGTGCTTATGGGGGGTCGTTGAAAGGGCTCACCAATCACTTCTGTTAAATGCTCTGGCCTATTGACTACCTGATCATGTCTTTTTCATTGTCACCTTCTCTTGAGACATTTCCACAAAAGCTCCGCTGAAGATTTCACGCAGTCTAACCCAATAAAATCCTTTTAGGCCATGTTTATGCAGTCTTAATCACCATGGCCCTGACGATGTTCTTACCCGCTGTTTAAACTGTCATTGTGTTTGCCAAATGTGTAGCTTACAGTATCGAAGTTAGATACTTGGACATTTTCACAAGTGGGGCACAGAAGAATCTAAACCGCCAATATGCTATCTCACATTCGAAGTTACCATTTATCTTGTCCATCAAAAGATTCACAATGAATTGTGGAGTTGAATTGTAGTGAGTCGCCAGTTAGGAAAGATCTTGAAAACAAACAACTTTGTGAAGCGCCCTGCCTTTTACTAAAAAAACCTGCGTAGGGTTTAATCGGGGACAGGTTTTCATCAAAACGTCTTGGTATATTAGAAGCACGCCATAATATCTTGTGTTAACGCTTTCAAATAAGCAAACAACCAAATGAGGGGCTGTAAACCAGGTTTGCCACAGCACACTCTTAACCTTGTTAATTTTTAAGTATTTACTCACAAACAGCCCGTTCATTCATTTCAGTTATTGTAGGTGAAAATACGTGAGCGCGGGGATTCGTGCCGCTTGCAACCACCACCCTGATTAAGGGAGTCAGTAACGACAAACGTTCGTAATCGCAGGTAAGTAACAGTGCACTCTCATATTCGCAGAAAAGACTTGGCTCCAGATGAATATCAATTCACACGGATCCCTCAATGGGCGTTCAAAGATGGTCAGAGCATTGTAGTGAATGCAATACAATCTAAATTGAGAACTGAACCGCTTTACTCAATGCTTCAATCACTATTAGCTCGAGTCGTTTTTACTAAATAATGATGAAACGCTTAACCGTCCTGACCAGCCATTTCATCAAAATATGAAATAATAATCCACCAGAGATCAACCTTATGGATCTAAATCGAGGTCAGAAAATTGTTGCACAATAATTACAACTAAAAGTTCGTGAAGTTTGGTATGACAAACGAACATGTTTAATGTTCTCTAGAAATGTTGTAAGACCGGTTCTAGTGAAACGGCAGTTGCGACGATATTGAGATCATCCGAATTGTTGACAATAACATCGAATTCTCGCTTCCACGAGGAAATATAAACACTCTGTTAAATATGGCAGGGTACAACACCGGAGCACATCAAATGTCGCCATGGAATGGAGGGAGTAACCAGGGAACCAGCTGCCATATAACCACGGAACCAATCTAGTGAAAATGCGAAATACATAAACGGACTACCACAAACACTAACGACAGGGAAGTCATCGGCGAAATAACGAATCGGAAAATTTACGGGCAGCCAACAGAACCACTTGACAGAGTCGGGACTGTGACTTGATTTGGAAAAATCCAGCGCAGACCATATGTTGCCCAAATATGTATGAATTCTTAAGCCCACAATGCCGACTAAACGCCAACCGCAGAGATTGCTTTAATGTAACGCTACCAGGAAATTCATCTAGTGTATATCACCGGTTTGATAAAACCCAAAAAACGGCGAAATTTATCCTACTTAAACCGATTTAACGTAAACAGGACATTTGTACATAGCGGAATATTATAGCCGAACGAAAAGAGAAATTATAAAAGATAACTTTGTCAAAATAGATGGCAGAGGCGGAAAATATGAGAGAGGAGGTTAAGACATGTGGGCTTTGCATGCAACTCCTTAAATGCTACGGGTTCCGCTAGGGGGCCGATCAGTTTGGGTCAGAAGTGAAAGTTGGCTGAGCCTCCTCTTGAACGATGTTTAATGTGGGAGAGCCCCTAGAGAGGTTTAGCTTGCGGAAGTGAGCGATGGGAGCAGAGGGTCCGTCGGGAGAGCCAGGACGCAGGATGGGGACCTTGATCGACTGGGCAGGCAAATCGGCCAAGGACATGCCGGAGACATCGAGAAGACCGCGGCACACTGGGGACACCGCCCGAAAATTCTCAGCCTGAGTCTCATGAGACGGTGACGCGTGCCTACTTCGAAGGATCACGGGGCTTTTGCACCGGGCCGGTGTAATTGCTGAGGCTGTTTTAGGTTGCCTCCCCAAAGCCGAAGTTGTCATCGGTTTTATTCGCTGTGAATCAGCTAGGAATTGACTCAACAGCCTGTCCGTGCTCTCCGTGCTCGCCTTGGTGGCTTGTCTACATTGGACGAGAGGATATGGAAAAATGGGAAAGCGAAAAAGTAAGCGAACAGCGCAGACACCAAGTTCATGCCTCACAATAAGCGAATTCTTACGTGAATGCGGTTAGGGTGAAAGATAGTTTTTCTAGGGTTATGTGCATGTAAAAATTTAGGCGAAGTGTTAACGGACGCCTTGGTGTTCCCCTATTGAGGAAAATCTGTTGCGCAGTTTAATACAAGGTAGATTAGAGCTAAGAGAGTAATGGCCTCGCTGGCGTGGCTGGTGGTGCGTTTCATGGTGATGCTGCGGACCCAAGACAACCTCAGACCCCCTCTCCACCCATGATGGTGCAGCGTCTGGTTTAGGGGGAGCGAAGAAAGACGAGGACGACCTATAGGAAAGGGAATGGAGCCAATCAGTGTGCTTGGGGGGAACCAATTGCAAGCAGAAAGAGTCATCTGAAGTTCAGGAACCTGGTTCGCGGAAAGTGTGAAGCCCAGCGTCAGAGGGCGTAAAAGTGACTTGGATGCAACCGACCCAGGCGACTGTGTGGATGAAGAGGATGATCCCCGTACCTACATGTGGGGAGGGGACGTGAGTAAACTGATTGATGTGTCGAGGACAACGAATTTGATTCTACTTTCCAGGTAGGAAGCGCTGTCACGTACTAAGCAAAATGATAGACACTCAATATAAGCCCTCCTTCCTTCGAAAGGGGGAGGGAGAAGGGGAAAGGAGGTGCACGATATGCTTTAAATAGTAAAAATAAGACATCGCAACTGAACGCACTCCGTGGCTTCATGCCTTTAAAAGATAACGTACTCCTTTCAATATTGTAAGTTAGTGGTTTAGAACAACAAAGTACGAATACCGCAAAGACAAACCATGATTGCATAAAAATACGTAACAGAAGGCCCCATGGCATGATGCATTAAAGGAAATCCGATGCAAAAGCGTAAGACCCGACTGTAAAACTGGTGAAGCAAGTAGCGGCCAAGCTTGCCCACTCTAAGGCCACAAGTCGGTATTCAGTAAGCGTGACCACCTCTATGTGTGGACAGGAATTCTGAAATGGTGTTGTTACGGGTGTGTAGGCGTGTGCAGCACGATCGGGGACGGAAAAGCATCAGCAATTAGGCTTTGGCGAGAAAATTGGCGGTGGCAATCGATCCGACTACGACGGTCTTGGGGTCATTTCTGCACGATGTTAATTTTATCTTTCCAAAATTGGTAAAGTTCTATTACGCATGTCATCTGCCACGTGCCATGCGTGATGGCCTCGATGCCGAGATCAGATCAAGAGATGGGATCAAATTCTTGTTTTAGCCTAATTGTAATAGCGTGAGGAGATTATGGTGAGTTGTGTGCAAGTGGATTCCAATATACTTAAGCAAATGATGGCAACTACCACTAGAGGAAACTTAATAGATGACTACACAATGGGTACTCCATTTGCCCGGTTTTTTTCTAATAAAGAATCACACAACAGAATCTGACACTTCTGAGTTATGTTGGCGTCTTAGTGACCAGATTACGTGCTAAGCCATGATTCCGAAAGAGTGCGTGGACCTGTTTTCTCAAGGCCGCATTAAACACAGCGGACTTTGAAAGCAAAATATTCAACCTGTGGCTCAATCTTTGTCTGTGTAAAGTTGTGATATGAAGCAGAGTGATCTCGTAGTCACTGGTCGAGGAACAAGAAAGCCGATTGCTCTGTAAGAAAGTTACAGCTAGTCTGTTTAAACAGACTCGAATGAGAAAAAATTGACACACTAGCACGCACAACAATAAGGGCACAAAAGAGGGCACTAATCCCAACCACAACAGTGACACGTAGGACTTACATCGGGACAAATTTATTGTCGTTCGCGAATGAGGGGTAGATCTGGCCTGGAAAAAAAACAAATGAAAGCACCAGCGCAAAAGTTCGACGTGGCTACACAGTTTAACATAAACAATCTATATAATTTAATAAGGAAGGATTTTTCGTGGATGAGGCTTACCTTATGGAATAAATATGCCATTTCCTAATAAGGCGTAGGGCCCATCATATCATACAAACGGAGAAATCAAAATATGGGTCGGATAAGAGGGCAAGTCAAAGCACAAACAGCTGCTCCGACGTGCAAGGAACCTCTAGGATATCTTCGTAAGAAATCTACCGAGATAAAGACTTAATCATCAAAGACAAGAGGTTACGCGGTGCCCAATAGAATTTTCCTGAGATGAATTTTAACGTAGCTCTTTAGGTTTTAAATTCCCGCTTGCATTAGAAAATTTGCAAGATTCATACTTAGGGTGATAATGTGGGACCAGCAAACTTGGTACGCCAAGTACGTGCTATCTAGTCGATAACCACTGATTACCTGTTTCGAAAACGCCAAATCACCCCTCGCAAAGTAGTCACTTTGAAGTTTTGAAAAAATGGAAGCGGCAATTACGAGAAGGAAATTTAAAGAAACTAGCAACTCCCGCCCAGCCCTATTTTGATGGTAATTAAATAAACCATGACGAGACTAGTACAGGCGTCACGCCAGACAAGTTAGTAGCGAATTTAATTAAAAAATCGCATAAATTGACACTGTCTTACTGAGGTCGAGGCCAGACGACCACCGTATGGGCGCTTCGGTGGGACGCAGGTGGGGAGGAGGGGGAGGGATCGAGGCAGAGGGGTGTCGGTTGACAGGGTCTCCAGCACTGCCTGAGGCCGAACCCCGACTGGCTACTCCACTGGGGGGCGTCTCAAAGAGCGCCGAGGTCAGACTCGGCGTGGCGAGCCTTTGCCAGCGCTGGAGCACCCCCGAACCGTGAAATTGTTTCACCAGCTGCAAGCGTTGTGGTCGGCTGAAATTTTTATGCACATGAGAGAATAAACATGAATTACCAACCAACACGAGTTATTGCGATAACGAACGGTGAGCGCGTCAGTGTGTGCAAGTTTAGGGTTACTGATGGCTACAGAATAAGGTGGCCAGACAACATCCACCAGATTTCTCTGGAAAAAAATCGGCAAGAAGAGGTAAGGCCGAACGTGGTGCTAAGTATGACAATCGAGAATCGGCTAACCACTGGATATCAACTGGGAAAGGTACGGCACCAACGCTGCTGTTAACAGCAAAATCAAAGGGAACCTTTAAAGACGCTTAGATGGCCAAACCTAAGTCAAAAATTAACTACATCTTCTACATTCCAAGCAGTATCGTCAGGTGGGTGGTGCAGAAATAGGTGCCTGCTGTCTTGTGGCTAGACAACAATTCTCTTCTTGCCGTGCCAATATCCCACAAAATTAATTTTGGCAGCATCAATTACTACTGATAAAAACATCCAAGCAGTTGCAACTTAATTTGTGGGAGTGCAGAGGCAGAGAGGTTGTCGAAACGACGAATTGTTCTTGTACGCGTAATTCACTCAAGAAAGATAATAAGGTCTTAGGGCAAAACGGTAGTACCTGGTAGAAGCCTGCGACTTTGCAACTTGATTTTACTATAGGCATTTCCACTTTACCCCTCTTAATGTGAAAAGTAAAAGGGTATTTGGATAAGTCCACTGGTTGGGACCAATAATGAAGCAACTTACACGACGGACTGGCCGAAAACTAAGGACTGGCCGAGAGAACTTAGCGCACTATCATCGAGACTGCGTTGCGGTGGAAGCGGTGTGCCCTGCTCCACCACCCAGCTCCGGCGATTCGCCAAGCCAGGTGGATTGGAGACGTAAGGCATTTGGGCTTCCGGCATTTTCGGACGACGAACAACTCTAAACGGACTGAACAGAGAGTGGGTTAGGATTAAACCCCCTAGTTCTAACATTCAATAGTTCTAACATTTCAATAGATGAAGTACCCACTCCAATTGGACAGCTAGACACTACACGATTTAGCCTACACCAAACCAAATTGTTTAACTTTGGAAATAACATAAGGAACAGGGTTGGTCCCAGGAGGAAATGAAAAGGACACACGCCATGAACAAGCGATTATGCCAAATTATTAAATGCCCTGTCTACCACACGTGCATATCGTTGCTAAGGTGACCCAGCTCACCGGCAGTATGCAAGCCCCACTTGAAGCACAAAATCGGCCAGGAAAATTAAGGACATGTAAAATTCAATTTTTTTATCAAGAATTTAGAAAGCATCCTCATGTTGAGGACCTGCACTTTATTGTCGTTGTTCAAGACTTGTGCGTCTTACTGCATCAAAAGAATGCAATACCCTCGTTATTCCCCAAACAGGCCTTCAGAAGTACACGAAGCCCCGGGGTGGGTTCGTTTGGTGAATGAGTTTCGATGCATTGACCACTATACACTGGTGCTTGGATAATTCAGACTCACTCCGTTTGTAATTCATGTGATTTGGCAGAGTGCTGTCTTGTTACAAACCCCATTATTCGTCTTTCTTTGGGCATTTTTATTGCGCTCGTTTCCCCCAGACCCCTCACAGCCACAAGTTTTCCTCCAACGCCGGCTAAATGTGTGTAGAAAATGTATGCAGCTTGAAGGAAAAAGCAGCGCGACTTGGAGTCCCCACGTACGTGGTAAACGCCGAGAGCTGTGTGCCAACCACTGCGATGCAGTCCTCGGGAAGGACACGAGCCGACTCAACAGCGTCATCGTCATCCTTATCTTCCTCCTCTCCTGCAGTGGAGAGAAAGTGCTCTTTGTAGTCCTCTACGCCCCAATCGAGGTCTCTCGAGATGGGCATTTGAAGGCTGTTCCGCAGTGCCGCCGGCCGATGGGACGAGGTCACGGAGGCTGGTGCGGACGTGGTAGGGATTTTCTTGGGCACGCGATGCGCAGCTTCAATTGGTTCTGCACAAATTCAATAATACATTGGACGATTTAGCATGCTTTTAGTGCAAAATTAAACTCTGCCAGACCCGTTCCACAAATAAATAAACTAGGCGGAATATCTGTCCGGGGGTTTAGAACCCAATTGACAGAGGGCTACCATAACAGTGTAAAAATCTACCCATATAAGAGCGTACTAAAGGAAATTAAGGACCATAAGGTCACGTGTTATCGACGTTGTCGTGTTTAACAAAAGTGGGCTGGGGAACAAATATGCCGACGAGACGATTACACTAATTTGATGTTGCATGGAAAGATTGTGGAAAAAAACCGATTCCTCTTTGTGAACACCGAACACCTCGGCTCCACGATTCTGTTAAAGCAAATAAGAGTAACAAGAGCGCACCTTTCATGACACCAGAATACCAAAACGCCAGTGGTTTCGGATAGGTGGTGTTCATAGAATGCAGGATAAAGACCTCAAACAATTCAGGTAATACAAGCTGTTCCAATTTACAAAATTAAAGTGTTTAAAAGGTGAACGAAATGAAGCAAAATGGCTCCAGGTAAGAAATCAAAAGGTGATTGCAAATCATTATTAATAAGAACAGTTAAACGCTACCCGAGCAACTGACGAATCCGCTGCTGTCCATTGTGGCTTCGTCCCACTCACCACACTCCTGCTCGGCGCGCACTGCAACGACGCCTTGACTAGTTCGGCTCCCCAAATCTCCGCTTGGCTTTGGTGATGTGGGTGGATTATGACTGTCATGGGGTCTGCAAAAATTGGGCTATAATTATACCTACTAGCAAACGAAAGTAGCGAGATAAAATTAGAGAGACGCACACTTCAAGTAAAGACGAGTTAGACAACTCCTCAGCTATTGAGGTAGACTTTTCAGCAAGATCAGAGGGAAAATCGGAGGCACCTGGTATGATGGCAACAGCGGGATCGACCGAATGAGTCCCTTGCTTACTAAGTGGACTATATACAAGGCACGTTGGTCTGAGACTAGCTTTCCGAGATCGATCGCGCAATTTCCGAACCGTGGCCTGGGCCTGAGTGTAGAGGGCAAGGCTCTCGTCATACTTATCCTTCATGTCTCGAAGCTCCTTGGCAAGACTTTGATTAACAGCGTTGAGTTCCTCAACTTTGAAGGCAAGCATCTCGTTGGTCATTCCGACCTGTGAGTAGATGAACAGTTAAGTAAGAATTTGATCGTCATTTCGACTTGCCGACCTATGCGACGAATGACTTCAACATGTTTACGTTTAACTTGGTGAATACAAAGCAGGTCTCATAGGTCGAATAATGCGGAAGTTACTGTCAGCTCAAATTTCAGTCGAACCAATTTGCTCAAAACAGTGCTATCGCAGGAAAGAATAGACGTCGAGCTTGAAAGTAAATTTCGATTGCAAGGAACTAGACAACTGGCAACAAGAGTAACAGCTACAAGGAGCAATGAATATTGGGAAGATGAAGAGCCGCATGAAGCAAACATGGAGCTCGTGTGTGTGGCTTTGCATCGGCTAAACAAGCTGTAAAACTAGTGCGAGTCGTGAGCCCACACAGGAAAGCTGCATAGCGTGCCTACCTGATTGAGGCTGTTTTCCAATTCCCGACTGCGAGCAGCGAGAGCGTTGACTTGGGTCTGCTGTTGGACCAGGGCATCAGAGCGCTTAAACTGTTCGTCGGACAGGCTTTTGATGTGGGCAACCGCATCACTGAGCTTGCGAATACACTCGCGCAACGTTACGCTCTGCTCCTCCGCTCGCTAAAAATGACCGCACATTAGACTACCAATCGGAAAATTAGCAATACGGTTCTCCTTTTACCAATGGATGAAACAAGGACTCAGATTGCAATTTTACCAAATAAGTGTACATGCCCTAGGATGGTGGCTAGAGCTAAGGGTGTTTGCATCATTATCGACAACAAGAAACAGGCTGGCATATGAAAGTTACGTACTCTGTCGCAAAGATTGAAAAAGAAATTAAAACAGTGGTGTGTGCAGGCAGAGTGAGTAAGCATTAGCCAACAATGAAATGTCCAGGACTGTAGCGCGACACAAACGTAAATCGAAGGCTTCGGACGTTATTAGTCGCCAGTTATCAAAGAGGGTTCGATCGGTGAACAAATTAGGGTAGAACTAATGGGAAACTGTCGACCAGAATAGGGCATCTGTTTGTAGGGAAGCCAAGATACTACGAGCCATCAGGTAAAGTCGTCGAAAAACAGTAAGTGTAAGTGCAAAACGGACGAAGCTGACTGACCGGGTCTAAGTGAGTATAACTGAAACGCACCCAAAACACCTGCGCTTCGTGGTAATGCAAACAGCCCCGATTTCATCGTCAAACGGTAGGCCCTTCCGAGAAGAGGTCTCACAAGCTACTAAATAATACCTCGAGTCGGTGGGAAAGACTAAAATGAACAAGGCCACGAAACTATGATATCAGATCAAGACAAGCACATTAAGCAGCGAATCACCCACCGATTTGTTAGGGACCAGTTTTTGAGGGACAATCGGACAGGGTAGTGGATGGCAAGTTCGTGATTCCGAAATCACCTATTTTTGGGATACCCGACACAATGGAGTCCGGGATCAACTTTTGGGAGAAGGTTAAACTAGACACCTCAAGCTCAAAATAAAGCGTTACTCGGCCTTTGGCTGAGACAGTGAAAGCTCTCTGCACGAGAGCTGGTCTTTGCCCCGTACCAGGAGAGTGGGGTTTGTGTTAGACAAAGACATTGGACACTGATTCTCTAAGCTTGGTAACAAATTGGCGACGCAGGTGAGACTAGTGATAAAGGGATGAAGCAACTTTTCGATTGGCTAGTAGATTATCAGTACACCGTCAGTTGACCGCTTAAGAAAATGAGTGGAAAGTGTTCGTACACCTCAGTCAACCAAGTGGCCAAAATGTAGGTTTGATCAAGAGGGCATTCAGTTGCGGTGAAGAGGAGGCTACAATTAAAGGAGGAGCGAGAAATCACCCACAAATTCCAAAATCCTTCTTCCACGTGCCTGGCGATGTTGTCAAAGTAGAAGCCAAGATCGCGCAATACAGTCTATGGGCCGCCCAGAAAGGTTGGGCGTTTTCACACGGATTGAACATACTTAGTGGGAGATTGACGGCACAGAACACTGCCTTAATGATCGTTCACATTCATCTGGGAGTTAAGTCTGCTTCATGGAACCGCCAAACACGACATCATTGGGATGTGACTGCAGGTTTTTAAGTATTAAGGAAAAACCGAATCCACAAATACAAGTACTTCCTACAACATTTTCAAGAAAGTCAAATAAAGATGGAAAACATAGTAAAGTATTTCAACTAAATTTACACTATTTACTTCTATTGACGCGGTAACGACTACCCAGAGATTTGTGGAAAATGTTTTACTCGATGGAGCCATATTAAAAGTGCTGCCACATACCTCGGGATCAAAACAGGAAAATACTGTCTACTACACCTTACAACTTCCTGTCCGCCTTGTTGTGGGCTTCGTGCACAAACGATTGAAAGGAAAAGCTGGCACACCATGGTCGCACAAATGCGGCTATTAGCCAAAGGGCCGGACTATAGACTAGGTGCCTTGAAATGATTTTTGACCCAAAATTATGCCAAAATAGAATTTAGTGACACGATCCATTTAGCCACTGCCTTGATGCACACACCACAGATTTTCGCATCATACACTTTAACCGTGTAGCTGCACATGACCTTTCGGCTGTGTTGACTTCAAAGGCACATACGAGCAGTAAAATACGTTCTGTGTGAAAAGAAAGTCGCACAGCTAAAAAACGAAATTGTCGCACACAGAAGACAGATAATTGTTGCACGCAAAATTACACCCCACGCATAAGTCACTGCGTGACTTATTCCCGATAACCCTACCGTTTTGCAAAGCATAGCACGACTTACTGTGAGTGAAAGTCAATATTTCTAATTATTACGGAACGGGCGTTGTAAATTGACTAAACGTGGATTAGTTTCCCTTGAGTAAATTGGACTTCATAATTAAAGTCGTCTAATTAGGTGAGATGTTGTAGATTAAATTATTTGATGTCTGCTTATGAATGAATAAAATGTTAAAGCAATTTTTCTAGAAAAATTCTGCTGTTTTTTTCACAAAAGGGAGTTTGCTTACTGCACTTCGGATGACAGCGTTTTCCTCCTCCAGGGCCTGCAGCTTGCGATGGATCAGATCAATTTCCTCCTGACTCGCCAGCATGCTGCTTCGGCTAAAGGGCAAATAAAGGACGGGTGATGGCAGTAGTGGGGCCGAATGCACGCGAACCACACGCAGACAGATCCCTTGTGCGACACTGCACCAAAGTAGTAGCAGTAAAATAACCTGAATTATGGCCGACAGCTCTGTCTGTGGGGTTGTCGGCGGTTTCAACGAAGCACATGGCTCGGTCTCGGTTTAAAAGGTGCATTTTTCAGCACCAGAAAAGTATAAACGAGTCGCGACCCAAACCGAAAGCACAGAACTAGTTTATTTTGGTCAGTTTCAGAAAATAATCCAAAAGAAGAATGAGTACCAAAATACTAGGACAATGGCAAATTCAAAATTGTAAACAAGAAGCACAACAATGAGGCCAAGTCTCACGCACACGCACGTCAGATCGAACAAAGCCACTTCCGGCACGGGAGCAAACATCGTAGCAACGACACGGTAAACGGTGGCACGTGGGATGGTAAATGAGGGAATCTAGCTTGCATCACTTTTTTACACTACAAAATTATACGGCTGTGAAAACTGCGTGCATCGAAAACCCCGTTATTTGGAGGACATGACAGCGGCGTTGCGTGCAAAGATAAAAGTTGGAGGAAGGGGCAAGGAATGGGTGATGAACGACCCGAATTCAGGACTTCCCATAAGCACTGCGGATGCCCCAACGAAGAAGCCGTTTTGGGTCTCCTCACTAGACAAAAGTAGACCAAATCAACATCACGGACTACTCTACTCGCACTCGAAGAAAAGGTACAGACTAGTATTCATTGCCGTCAATTTGTTACGTGTAAAGTTTAAGAACGGAGTGTTTTGTCCCTATTTACAGCAATGTGAAATTAACATCTGGCATATTTTGATTTCTAATATACCACAACCATAACCCAACTCCAGTTAAGGCAGAAGCCTTGTGGCAGGATAGTCTCTTTAATTAAACGACGCACCAGGAAGATTGCATTGATTCTGCCAACTATAACTTAATTTAGCACCTTGATTAACAGCCACACATGCAGGCATTGTTTTCACTTGTGCTTCTGGAAGTAACGTTAAAATTCAGAAATAGAAGATAATGATTGAAAAAACGCAGAGCCAGAGGAAACAACCAAAAAACTACTAAAATGCGCCGATGTATCGCAGCTTGCTGACCTGACCAGCTAATTCGACGACCAACGTGTGATCATTGAGAACGCATTTGGCAAGAATGTGTGAACGGCCTAACCCTAACCCTATCTAACAATCACGATTCAATGTCTGGGATTATTAGATTGTAACAATCTACTTATAATTCAATGGAGTTAAAGAGAACGCCGAAATTGGACAGTTAATAGAAACATAAATGCTGTACAACAGAATAGCTTTACTTAAAATTGTTCGGTACTTGTGCGAAAAAAAGTAATGGAAATGTAAAGACTGCTAATTATCAAGAAGAAGTACTTCGCATTACAATCTCGGGACGCAATTCACTTCTCCTTTGATCAAAGCAGCAATCTGAATTAGGGAAGAACGCTCAGGATGTGACGTAGTAAGGCACCTCTGGATCCGCTGCCGACACTTAGCACCGCTTTACAAAACGAAGTGTGGGGTTTGAATTAAACGGAATGAGCAGTACAAGTTTTTGAAGCACAAAATTAGAAGCGCGACGTTCAAACAACCTTAACACTATCGTCAGTGACGTGATTACTCAAATTTGCCTTCAGGTGTTTCCAAAAGAAGATGCGATGAGGAATGATCAAAAAGCGGTGAATTGTGACACGCTTGAACAACAAGCCGACTGAATAGCTTATGTAAAGTTTAGTCAAAAAGGTGACGAGCGAAAGCACGAATTCGAATTCGCTAAGACAACTGGTTCAGGCTACGAACTTCACAAGGGATATCTCATTTATTTGAGAACCTCACTAACAGCACATTAAAGCAGGCATACACTATCAGCACACCGAACCTAGTAAAGACGTCCAAAGGCCCAGTCAATGGGCTAGAGCGTCCCCGAATTTCACTACCTCTGCTTCACATAAGGTGTTGCCAGAGCGGTTCGAAAATGCTCCGATCAGACAAGAATGGACGGGTCTAGCATTTGTCAATCACATTTTCTAATCTAAGGGACACAAACTGACATCCGAAAGGGCGAATGGCCTCATTAGAGAGGGTTCTGGGAAACAAAATAATGCCTAGCACCATGGCTCTAGTGGTGACAGAGCAGACTTACGCTGGAAAATCACTCCGTTGACGCGATCGCAAATCCTCGAGTTCGGCGGCAGTCGCGTCGCCAGACGGTAGGTTCTCTTCTCGTGTGTCATGATGACTCCACAGTTGCAAAAGCTCCTCTTTCATGCCAAGCGTGTGCTGCAATTGATTTATCTAAAAAACATTCCAAAAGCGGAACTTGTTACGTGCGAACTCGAAAGTCTCCTGGTCTTGTTTTCGTGGAATAAAATAAGATGGCGAAATCGGGTGGCAAAAGCAAATGCGGATGACGCACCAAATGTGAATACCAGATAGTGGGAGTTGGGGTGAGATTTATCAACCTGCAAACAACAGAGGTGTGGAACCCCGACTGGTAGTGTTATATTTTGAATAGGCGTTGAAACTCTCAAGTACAAAAAAGCAACCGCAATTTCATGGATTGCCACGCATTCAAGGCGCTCGGAGAGCCTATTTAAGTAATGCAGAGCCAAACATGTTAAATTGGGAATTTCGTGGGGAGGTTCCAAGGGAATGCCGTGGTAGCCGTAAAATCCAACAATACAATTTATGAAAAAATGGCCGAGATTCAGCTCGACAATGAAATAGTCTAGCACAAAGCCTTATAAGAACCGCTCATCTCACACTTTGATGACTCATTATTGTGAAGTGAAACCGACACTAATCAGGATTAGTGACAAATACATGAACGCAATTTTGTTCAATAAATACTATTTTTCTACACAAATATTATCTGCCACGTGGGTCGGGAACCAACTAAATGACTTCTGACAACACTTACGTAATAGGCGACGTGTCAATAGTTAGAGTGGAAAAAATTTCGCCCCAAGTTGAGTGCATGGAGGCAAAAAACCTACCGTTTCCATGGCAGCGGCCATCTGCTGTTCACTTTCACGAAGCTGGCGATCGAGATCTCGATTTCTGTCAAGCAGTGACTTCCCGATTTGCGCAGCCAACTCGAGATCGCTTTGTTTCTAGAAAAGGAAGGGCGGGATATGTTACAATTGTCTGATGATCCCTCGCAAGAGCGAGTACGCCTAAGAGATAGAGGTCAAAAAGTACACTAGAACAGAGAGGCAAGGAAGTAAAAACGCATAAATCTTCACAATAAAGCCGTCATGTTTCCTGCTGAAGGGCCCTGCCGACCAGAGTTCGCAGCGTGAGGGGTATGCAAAAAAACCACGCCTCTAATTAGGTAGATCACAAAAGGCAAGTCTGCCAAATTTTAATGTGCAGTACGCAAAATTGAAGCCAAGTGAATGTGACTAACTGACTGACAGACCATATAATCGTGAGAAGTTTATTACACATTCCGCAGCTACTGACATCTATGAAGGGCTAGTGGAGGCCAGGAACAAATCACTGAGAATAAATAAATTTCATGACAGTGAATGCTCATTTAGATTTCTTAGTTCACAATTCTGAAAAAGCCAGAGTGGGGTATTGACTGAATGCATGAGTGGCACAAAGGAACATGGATTAAATGAATTCATGAAGAAAAACCACAACGCGAAATGAAAATTGCCTTCAACAGGCACACGCTAAAAGCTTGAAAGATAGCAAGGTAAAAGTCACCATCACAGCGACATACAACCGAAACTCAGACCCGGGTACCGATAGGGAAATCAGAGCAAGCATTGTAGACAGAGACGTAAGGTCAATTGAGTGAACTGATACTATGAATGGATTATGCGTGTTCAGATTTTCGCAAGGGCCTCTCAAAGGTACTCAGATCATACCCTGTCAATGGGTAAAATTTTGAGTTTTTTCTCTCGATACCCCTTTCGTTTGTGGGTTATTGAAAGAAGTTTATCGAAACCAGTGGCCCATAATTCCTTCATCTACGGGAATACATATGGTCTCTTTTCTCGTCATGGATTAGAATGGACTGGTATAGAACAGTTGACGTTTTCTGTTAGTGTTATTTAACATATTCATGACCTTGGAGACTTGCACACTTCCTGAAGATCATACATATTGCTTTGGTATGGTGTTTTCGTATTTTTTCGGATGGATTCACTTAATGCCTGCCTGTGAATATCAAGGAAACCGCTTGTTACAGCAAAAGCACGTGGTTTATAGTCCAACGTCACACAGGACTCAGATCAAATAACTGAGAAGCGTGTCCGACATTTACTAACTAAACTATAAAATGTTTCTGTCTGGCATTTTCATAGTGTTTGCCGAGAATTAAAGGAAGAAATAAATAATCTTTGTAAGTTTGGATATCTGTTTGCGATTTACAACCTTAAACATTGCCTATCCTCACATTAAACCTTTGTAGAAATTTGACTGCGAGGATTTAAATTAACTCCAAAATTTGGACTTCAAATCAAACAACCCGCTCATTTGCCGTTCAAGTGATTAACTTGAAGAACACGCACGCCCCGCGACATGAAGGGAAGTAGAAACTACAGAGTTTACCGGCGATGGCAGTTAGGTAAGCTCGAAACAAATGATCACTTAGCCCATTGCTCACCAACCGTCTAATATTTGAGCTGGAGCTTGGTGTCTTTCAATGCCACAAAATAATCCCTATTTCATATAGTAACACTCCCAATTTGAGTAGCTGGCCACGGGGCAAAATGTTTGCGGTAAAAGACCGATCTCATTATTAAAATGGGCCGGGGGTTGGTGAACGCAATGCACGAACTCAGCCTTGACGACAAAGATAGTACCTTGGAGGTGTGCAAACATACATTTTAAGGGTTCACCGTGTGGCCGATAACACTCCACACCAAGGAAAGTTGTCCAGACAACAAGAGCATGACTTGTGAAACAACTTAGGCAGTCTTCATTACTCCAACTGACGAGCAACGTGCATTCAGCGTTGGGAAATGTTAGTGGTGCGTCATTTAGACAAAGTTGAAAAGTCATTGCTTGGAACAAGAAATGGGCTCTGAAATGACTCAAAGATAATGCGGGACAAAAAGTGTCACAAAAATCGCCTGCACTAACGCGACAAGGGTGGAAATGCTGGAGACTTTAGAAGTCTTCTAGCTTAAACCAGCAACGCAAAAATTACAATGGGTAAAAAATAACCATATTAAAACGGAAAGAGGCTTCATAAACAAGTATGGAAATGAATTTCTGACATTAGGAAAGAAGAGACAACGGTAATCTGGACAGGACCCATAAAAACAACGGGAAACAATAGCCTGCAAATTTAACATAGAAGGTACACAATATTAGGCAAATGAAAATTCTCATAAACATCGGGAGGATATTAAAAAAGCTTGGGTGACCTGCGCAACCCAAAATTTTATCAACACTTAATGGAGACTATTGAAGTTTAGGCTGAAAACACGGTTTCGAACTCATGCCAAGTTCTCAGGGGATGTCGTTTATAATGCCGTTGTTATCGTCATGTCACACAAAGCATCTCCACACACAAAAGATGGATCGGAACAGAACCACTTCCACCAGAACAACGTTCGTGAACTACGCATCGAAGTAACGCACATTTCAGCCATTGAAAACTAGGGTCCGGGGTGTAGCTAGTAGGCAATAAATGTGTACGGGGGTGGGAAAAGTGATGAGCCGTCTAACTGTGGGGGATTGATTGACGTCAATTATTGAAAGACACACAAACCAGAGCACACTATAAGCATAGATTTCAACAGCAAGAAAATTATAGATAATGTGTAGAATCACACAATTCTGCGTCAACGAGACTGCAACAAAAAGGTGGACTTTTAACTTACATCGTTCAGGAGGTGGCGCAGAGCCTCGGGGTCATCAAGGCTGCCATCCATCGGCTGCGCCTGTCGATCGTAGAGCACTACAGCAGCAGGAAGGGCAGAAATGTAATTGCGTTTTGACAAAGAAATGCTTCATAGCTGTTCCTTCAAACAACATACGTCAACAAACAAACATATTTTAGGCCATTTCGGGCGCCGCGGCTTTGGTCTGACCTCGATTTGTTTAAAAAATGTCCACATGCCATACAAACCACCTCGTCAACACAGACCATCACCTAGGGATTAAATACAGGTGATGCCAAATTCCCAAAGAACGCTCTTCTTTTTGTAATTAAAATCAAGTGAACGCACTGATTGAAGCCCAGTGTCTAGTTCGAGTGCTACCGTATATGTAAAACGTTGTGGCTAAGGGATTGTTTGGAAATTTTGCCTGTGCAAAAACCTAAATTGGCCCAAATTCGGTGACGAAATCGGCTTTTGTGTACTATGTCAGTACATCTGGGAAGCAATTTTTGTCAAAATTTAATTGTATTTGAAAATGGAAAATAGATTCTGAAAGTAGGACTACATTGCATAATGTTTCCAGTGCAAATTCATTTTAATCATACAAATCGAGTCAATGCGAAACGGCCACCATAGAAAAAAATAACCAGATAAAAAGATTTTTTGATGTAAAACCTAACGACAAACGACAAACACCATTTGCACTTACCACCTTCTTAACTGTGAACCCAAATTCATAAGTGAAAGTAAGTCAATAATGCAGGAATGGAGAGATTGACGCAATTAGCTTCTACTTTCGTACAGAAAATGCGTCGATTAAGGTCTAAATGACATAATGTGCACAAATTTACAAGTATGCCTTTTTTAACTGCGCGGAAACTGGCCAAAACATGTGACCTGGTATGTGTGTGCGTGTGTTTTAGACTCGAACGGACAGGAAGCAAGCAAGCCGCAAACTTTGGTTCTGAGTTTCCATCGAGGAGAACAGGAGTGTTTGGAAGTGATAATTATACTCGTCAGATTGCCACGCATAAAGTATCTTCAATCCGCCGGCCCAAGGCAGCCTTTTAGTCTCAATTAAGAAGTTCGCAGAGATATGGGAAAAGGTGCCGGCGCGCACACGGGAGGATCCCACATTTCACAAAGACATGAACAAGCGGTAGGTGATGTAGCGGCACATGATGAGTGACTTCATGCTTACGTACGAAGTACTCAACCACTTAGGTGCCTTTAGAAAGAACATTCAGGAGGCCAAGATCAAGAGGTATGCACTCTCACAGAAATCTAAGATAATCAGGAATTGGCACAAAACTGTGTGCTTCGATTTTGAGAGGTGTGACAAATCCGTTACATTTTAAAAATGAGGTTCTATGATTAAACCATGTGTCAATAACGTGAAAAGGAAAATGGAGCCAAGCTGCAGCATGATTAGTCAGTTGAACACATCAGAAATACCACTACTTATTTTGACGAAAGGTGCATTGCATTCACCCGAAAGTCTTACACTTTGGTCTAGTGTATAGGGATTTTGAGGTTTTCCAGTGTACGTTTGTTCAAGTAGAAAGAAACGCGTGAACAGACTACGAGGATAAGTTAGGTTAAAATGAACCAACTAGCTGTTGGAACACATGGCTTTAAAGATAAGAGGCGGCTCAAAACACGAAACAGACATACTTGCGGGTTAACACGAGGTCCCAGAAAGTAGTTTAAGCACAATAACAATTTTGACCTCCGCTAAATCCTAAACAGAGCCATCGGGTGTTGGTGAGAAACAAGCAAATCTATCCAATAAAAGTCGCATGCAAAACCTGGTAGAAGGACAAAAGACAGCTGACTGCCAATAAAAACGCTTCGGAACGCACGCTACTGTCACAGGCTACTGATAAATCAGGTATCCACGAGCATCCAGGCGGCCTGCAGTACCCAACACCTCCAAATAAGTATAATTTCTCACGCTTAAAATGATCTTTGATTTAGCCAGTGTGAAGTAAGCGCGCATTACGGTCTGGAAGGAACAGGCCGTGATGCACGCACGCGCACGCACAATGCAGCCAATCAGGCGTTAGCTCTGAAATGCGCAATAGCAGGCTCCTTGAGAGTTGGTAAACACGACCGATGTAGTCCAGTGACCATGAGTGGACTTGCTACTAATTGTGAAGAGTGTGAGGACGTGCAACTTGCAGACACATTGTGGCGCCTCACTTCGAGGCAGCGATGAGTGGAGGCGTAAATTCGAATGGAACACAACAAAGTGAAAACAGGTACTACGAGCGGTATTCCAAATAAGAGAATATCGTTGCGATGCTACTAGTTGGTATTACATAAGGGCGGACACCACACAAAACAAATTGAAAGCAATTATGCTCAGTCGCAATTTGTTACCTAACCACCTCAAGGGGAAAGGTGGATACGCCCAGTGGTGTTTGGCAAATGTGTTTGCGTCCGACAGTGACACCGCAGACAGTTTTTGGCACAGGCTTAGATGTTAACTTGGTGCGTTTGGAAACGGTAACAGATCCGAAAATTGTGTGACTAGTTAATTTCACATTGATTCAAAACAAGCGTTGCCTAAGCAGTAAAGCACGACACAGTCTCCCCCAAGCGTTGCCAATAAAAAAAACGTTATAGCAGATGAAGCTAACACGGCAACGATTAGCATTACTTCCTATGATGTTAGAAAATGAGCGCGACTAATACTGCATTAACTACGCGTCGATCCAATCACATGTCTTTATTTAAACTTAAAGTAAAAAGTGATAATCAGTAGTGCTTCCACAGCCACGTTTGCGAAAGCAGCGAGGGAGGATTGCTACGATAATTCACAAATCGCTAACATGAAATAAAACTACTTTCTCTAAATAAGTAACTATGGCTATCAATTAAAAGTACCTAACCGTTGAATCCGGAGTTACAGCAGCCAATTGTACACCCACAGTTGCACAAGCATCCTTTAAATAGACACACGCCGCTATCGTAGACTACCATATAACCGGCCCCCACATTAAATAAACCTCTGTGCCCGACATAGCCCATCTTCGTCTTGCGGCTGTGGTTTTTAAAAGTAACAACCCTGAAAATTGACGACGAACCAGTGCTCGTGAGAACAATAATTTACCATGACTACACTCCACTTCATAAGCACATTAACGCACCTACTTGAACACGTGTTTCAATACCTACGTGAGAGAGGAGTCAACGAAAAAGCAGATTATTGTGGAAAGTTGGTCCTTGCGAGAACCTACTCGTTGATTAACTTGTTTTTTTTTTCGTGTATTATACCGACACTTCTTCTTCAAGATCAGGATAACATAAATGAAATCATGAAGATTTAAATATATGTTCAGAACACATTGTGTGACCTCGGGCCAATTCCTCACATAAACTGAGGGTTAGTGAAAATAACTGGACGCTCTCCAAAGCTTGACGTGTTACAGATGAATACTGGGTCAGCTATGACGAAAAGAAAGAAGACGGACTGGGTGAAATAGGCGCTTTACTAAAGCCATCAGGGTAAAGCGCAGCACCGCAGAATAAAACGAATAGATTTTGACACTTAGTACAAAGTGATAAAAGTAAAAAAACAATGGAGGGTCAAAGATAAAAAAGTTGAAATTTCAAGAAATGTGGGAACGTTAAAAATGCACTTTTGCGTCCTTGTAGTCGAATAACAACTACTTGGACTGTTGCTCTCACCTGATGATTCTTACGTAAGCCCGAGGCAGAAACCATCAAAGGTCCACTTCAAGCAGGCGAAATAGGAAATAATTTTTTTAAAAATCATTTAGCATTGCTGAGGGAACAGTGACCTAGGTTTTTAGAGGGACGAATGACTAACAAGGCATTTTGCGGCGAAAAAAACTGAAAACGAGATGGCGCGAACACACATGGCTCTCGCAGTTACATCACAAGCCTGTTTATGTAACTGAACTCTACCATTATTCACATGTGCACCAACGAGGCTCATGGTAATAAAGTGTTTTAAGCTGGGTTTTTCTATTAGACACCTTTCATCAATAAAAAAGACTGTGCATCGTGGTTACTGTCCCAAATTCACGTTTTAACTGTCAACAGCACGTTTACAAACGTGCCCCTACTCACGTGATTCACCCATCCACTGCGAAATGCTGCTGGTCTAGAAGCCGCCCTGATTCCGGTCCAAACAGAATTCAATACTAAGGGAAACGGGGTATCCCGAAGGTTAGCCTTTCATTGAAATTTCTCAAAATCTCTGTCTCGTTGTACTAGTGCACAGATGCAGTTTCTGAGTGTAAGTTATTATCTTGTCTAGAATGTCAACGGATTCTCAGAATAGAACAGGACATGACGTCGTGCAGAGAACCTTCACTGTTTCGGTCAAGAGTCCAATTTGAAAGTAGGGGGTACGGTGCGTTGCGCCCACTTGTGTACGCCTATGCGACCCTGGTCTGACGATTAACACTGAGTAACGAGTTGTTAATGTGATCATGGATATAGCGTGATTGGAGTTATCGCGTTAAGAGAACCAAGTAAATAAAGGCACAAATCTCATTGTCGGTTAAGTGGCTTGGGGAAGTTTGACACTCCCAACACTAGTATTGAAAACCTCGTAGGTTGTCGATTTCATTGGCGAAACACCCGAATGAAGCCAAACGGCCTTGCGGTGCCCACAAAAGATTTCACATCAATACGAAAATCGCCTTAGGAGAGAAAACAAAACGATAAATTTGAAGCGGCTCGGGTTAACCGAGGCTGTGGAATGACAAACACAAAACCAGTGACCTAAAAGCCACTTTAATGATTAAGACAAAGCGGCTGAGATTGAAGTGTGGTCAGGGTGTCTTTGCGTGGGCAGCCGACTACCTAAACCACGCGAATAGTAGCAATGCGGCGAATGTTAGGCACGAAGGTATGATCCCGCCATGCAACCAGGTCAAAAATGTGAAACGCGCACACGAACCTAAAAACAGAACGCACGTCGCCTTAACCTTACACATCGCCCTAGAACCGAAAAATTCCTGGCTAGCTACCTAAAGAACTGTGCAACACTTCAGCGAACCAAGGTGCTACAGAAATTATACGTTTGCAAGGCCAAACGAGATTAATCGGTACGTGGCCATGTATACCAACAGAGAATTTGCATTGACAGAGGCACTCTTAATCAATTTGCCATTTCTAACGATGAACAAGTAAAAAATCTCATGATTTGTAAAACGAAAGCCTAACGGATCAAATTAACCCGAAGGAGAATCGATATCTACTTCCCAGAATGTTTCAGGCACGAAGTTAATGATGGTCTTAAAGGTAACATTTTCCGCTCAAAAATTTGTATACTGCCACCCTTCATATCGGGGAAATACTTTACGGAAGAGATGATGTCCCGAGGCACGAAAACCAGCCTCCGCTGGAAATTACAGATGCATGCACTCTAGGAGTTTAATCGTTTGGATGACTATTAATTACGCTGAGCCCATTTTTGTTTACACTCCACCATGGTAACTGCAATAAGACCACAAGCGGAAATAATGCGGTATGCATATGGACATTAATATGTATCTGATCACACATTAGAATACTTGAGCGGCAAATCACTAAATACCCTCTCCAGATAACTTAGAAATCACAAGCTTCAGGAATTTGCTTCTTACAGATCCTAGTCTTGTAGACCATAACATAATGAATCTATATCTTACGAAAACAAACTTATGTGACTTTAACGCATAATGCGGTAGAATCTTACAATTTCATAAACAATCGTAAATGTCCCCTATAGGAACTACGCCCTTCTTTTCAATATAATTCACTCATGTTATTTGACTTAGAGACTTCAGAGAGCTTGACATCATGAAAATATCAGCTCATTCCTATTAATACTGAAACTTTATCCATGTGCTTAACATAATAATCAACATAAAACCACCCCTGCATCAAGTACACTTCATTTAATCCGCATTTACACCATGTTGAGATGTGCGGCATAATTCAACGGCTACAAACGGTTTGGAGTGCTATCCGCCTAGCATTTTCGTAAGTGACACCTAACATAGCCACAGCAGATTGACGAAAAAGTACATTGATTGCGTGCTAAAGAAATAGTGCCTGAAATTTGATGGTACAGCTAGGATACTACATGCGATCCCAACCAATGGTGATCTGGGGAAAATGGTGATGAACTGGCGCCAAGGGTCAGTTATAAGTTACAATTATGTCTACTAACTTATGGCTTGATGTCCAACTTAAGTGCTTTAAATAAGGCGCATAAAATTTGCCCGGTAAAACGTAACATACATTGAAAACTGTGATCCCTGCAAATACTTGTCCCCCTCTGCAAGGATAAATCAGTAAAAACAAGCAAGTTTTACATAAAGCAGGTTATTGACGCATTTAATGGTAGTAATTGTAGCAAGTACATCCAGTCGCCTTGCTAATTATTCCCTTACTGTTTGAAAGATCAGTAATCGACGTTTTGGTGACTGATGCTGCCGACAATAAAGAAAACATATACCGTCAAGTTGACCAAGATAACTTTTTGCTTTGAATGCTTGTGTACAGAACTTAAAATAACCATTTAAATAAAAAGTAGCCTTTACTCTTATGCCAAAGGGAAACGCAAAGTTTACGTCAACCGATCTTGAGTGCAATTAAGATTCATGAATATGAGTATGGCTTATATGTGTTAACGAATATAGCAACACCATGATGCAGACGCTTATTACACTTTGTGCATAAAACTAGACTAATCAAGCGTCACATGCCAATATGACGAAAATACCGACAAAGAAACAACTTGCCAAGTTTGACTAACTTAATCTCCATGAGTACACTAACACAGTAAGGAACGAAGTCAAATTTCAATAAAGTAGTGACAATACTGCCTTCACTGTAGGCGATAGATTCGGAAAAATTACCCCACACTTGGCAAAATTTGTTCATTGCATTGGAAGTTTGTTTGCAAACGAACAACAAAATCTAAACCAGTTTCCTATCCGGGCACAAGTGGATCGAATAAACTATGTAGAGAATACCACAAGGTGTCCAATAAATAATCAACAATAACACAAAACTGTTAGATTAGTACACACAGTATTCAGAGTTGTAAGATGTCAAACTACGTGAGATATAATTTGGAGTAAACATGACATCAAATTATTGTGCTCATCTGGGTAAAAACAACAGTTGCGGGGTCGAAATAGAACTCTACACATAATGGGTTCACTCCGTCTCTACTACTGTGGGATTTCGTAATTAGTGATGAGCATTGTTAACGTCTACTGTAAGCACAAGGTCGTGTTAGATGAACTGGGCGTGCATGAACAGATTCGAATAAACCAGTCAATCTGCACGTTTTGATTGGGCCAAAAGCATTTTTGTAGTTCTAAGCTAAGATGCTTTGTGTGAAGATAAAAAATTCGAATATGCTGACACAAAATTCACAGAAGCTCGAAAAGAAAATAAGACAGCGGAGGTTAATAACTTTAGTGTTTTGAGTTTTTTTAGGGAAACGACTGAAAGTAGATAATACTGGGACAAGCTACCCATCCTTATGATAATAAAGCCTGGTCGGGGGAGGTACGTAAGGTTTCAAATTCAAATGTCCTCAAAACAGGCTTACGACAAAGTCGTTGAGCTCTGTGTCTGGCATGGAAAAGGTGAACACCAACTTGGGCATATAAGCGTCTGCTTGAGAAACATCATGCACGCCTTAGTAAAATTATAGTTATTGTTGCAAGGGTGATATAAGTCGAAAGCACCGATCAAAACGTTACTTTATAATTCTATAATAATCACTTTTATAACTCACGGAAATAATCAAAGGCACAGTCGATCTGTTCATCAGAAAGAGAGTGTGCATCCTGATTAGACATTGACAAGATTGCTTTTTTAGCAGATTTCGCAACAAAACTGGGGTCCAATAATCAAAGTTTACTTCGCAGGAGTATTTGGGCTTTGATCACTTCTAAAATGCAAAAGTCACACTTAACAGAAAATAACACGGTATCGATGACACTGACCATTCACAGTGAGCCGACCAAACACGCAATGACTGCAGATCATGAATTACAACTAAATGTGACTAGAGGGGCAACCAGTCGAGCGACAAAAGCGAAACTGGCTGTTATTTAGTCCAAGACAAACTGGGGACGTTCCAACCTTCAGAGTAGATAGTGTTCTAGGGCATGAGATTTGGGAAGAAATCCGTGAAACAGAGAATATATTGCATGTAGATGACCATAAGGGTTATACTATCATTTATACTCTAAACAGACTCCAGGTTAGATCAACAAAAATTAGTGGATGAGAGCTAAGTGTCGTGGAGGTTCCAAGGGTAATGCTACAACAGCCAAAATCCTCGCATAGAAGTGCATAAACGAACTTGATTTACGCATTTCGAAAATGATTAAAAGAATGGACAAATCAATAAAAACAAAAGAAGGATTACCAAAACCAATAAAAAAGGGCGGTGGATGGAAGTGGATAAGGGATATAACACGCAACGACAAGACACAACAGAACAACATCAATGAGTGTGCGAGGTATAATCCCCAAATTGTCGCTGGCTTTATAGTGCAAAATGATTACACTATGGTGGGGTTGATAGTCCATAAAAAAACGGGAGAAACTTAAGACTACGTCAACAAAAACACAGCGATTCTTTAATAAGGTTTAATTTATTTTCCCAAAATGATTAAGAACAAACCAAGATTTTCACATAACTAACAAATTCTTGTGACTAACTGACCAAAAATCCAGAAAAAGTACATTCTGCAACAAACAATGATAACTAAAATTATTTCATTTAAAATAAATAGGCTAATTCTCGTGCTACAAACATGACGGCCGGTAATTAGTTTATTGAATCGAAAAGAATGCATAGACATCCAACATACCCAGAAGACCACTCAAGAAAAATGGAATTTGGATTTGGAAAGCAAAGTGAAAATAGCGATGTAGGATAGTCGAGATTGTCCACAAGATAACAAAAACAATAAAGAAAGTCTCTTTTCGATTTATGAGTAACAGCACCGACCTATAGAAAACAGTCAACACGCTCCACAAGTTCAAGAATGTCTCGCCTCATTAGACAACGCGCCCAAAACAAATTACTATGCGGCGTTGAAATGTCGTTGTGGTGTG